TTATAGTTTGGTGTTCCTGTCGTGTTTAGTAGATTGGTTTTTTGATCCTTGTGACTTTATTGCTTGGGCTTAGGTGGTGTTATGTAATTGCTATGTTCTACCTCGATCGACTAATTGTTATGTTATACTACTATTAAGCATCCAATTTAAAACAACTTTTAGACATGTTGGCGTAGACAGAATTCTCAAAAGGGTATGTGGGAATCTGATCTAGATCCTTTGCTCCGGTTAATTACCTCGGCAAGGATAATCCATAAAAAGGGAATAGTACTTAAACCAAGGGTAGAAACAGACACATGGCACATGGTTGGGCAGGAGTTTACAATGTTCACAATTGAACAAAATAGGTAGAAAAATAGGTAGGGGTTTGACTTAAGTAACTCATGATGAATCCAATATCGGTAATCTATTATATAATTAGGGAGTTTTCTCTCCTTCTAGGGTGTTCACATAGACAAAAATATTTGTTTTAACAATAAAATTATTTTTAATGCTCAATTTAGTTCATGTTTGTATATTAATTGTTACTTACAACTACTAAAAGTTTGTATTAAAAGGGAAACTTATTGAAATAACCTTAAATTTGTGGTCAATTACAAAATTACATCCCATTTTCTCTCTCACCAAAATTTTATCAAACAAACCATAGAATTCAACTTATTTACGGAAATTTCATTATATTTGGATTTTTTAACTTATCTACGAAAATGCCATTATCATCAATGTTTCCAACTATACATTTTCGTAAATAAACACTCAAATATATCAACTTATCTACGAAAATACCATTATCATCAATATTTCCAACCACCATAAACAACCAAAATCAAGCTCTAAATGCTTCCCCAACTGATTTTTCGTGGTTAAGAGCTTCATTTATGAGCTCATAACTTCTTCCTCACTCATTTCCACTCCAATTTCATCCAAAAAACTATCTAAATCTGGTTTTCAAAATTATTTCTCTCAGAATCTATCGATTTTCAATGGTTCTTGCATAAACGACGGCTAGGCTTCTTTGTTAATGGTCAGATTAGAAGTTTCAGGTGCTTGAAGGAGCTGAAAACCGAGCTCTACGGCGAAAACGGAGCTGAAAATCGTGTTTTTTGATCTGGTTCGCGATAGTAGACTGCATAAGAAGTCTGCTAGTCAACAAAATGTTAGATTTGCTATTGACTATTTTAAAAAATATTCAAAGCAGCCTGCTCGTGAAGTCTGCTTGTTCTCCTTTGATAACAAAAAAACACTCGTAAACTTCACATGAAGTCTACGTGAAAATGTGTTAGTTTTGCATTTGACCACAATTTTGACTTTATAGAGTAGATTTCTGGTGGAGATGCTGACTAGAGATTGCAGATATAGTCTGCTCTGAGGTTATTTCGTGCATTGACCAGATTGTTACCTTTTTTAGTAGACGCAATCAGAAGTCTGCTCTGCACGGACGGGTTAGTTTTGCGTTTGACCAAAATCTCAAACATTGACCAGGAAAAACATTTATCGGTAGACTTCTTATGCAGTCTACTATTTATTCAATTAATTAGCAGATTTCTGAAGAAGTCTAGTGATAAATTTATTCGATATTTGGTCAAACACAAAACTAACTTCTTTTTAGAGTAGATTTCAGATAGAGTCTACTCGCTAAGTCAATAATTTGGTCAATTGCGGTAAGATAATCCATATAGAATAACACAAATTCTACTCTCTCAGCAAAAAAAAAGTAATATCCGATTTTTTTTTTTTTTGGGTCAAACCGGAAACCGATTAGAGTCGTATTAAATGTCCAAATTCTGGAAGACACGTGGGCCGTCTACGTGGAAGCTGGAACGCCACAATCGTATACAGTTGTACTCTCTTTTTTACTCTGCTGATTTTGGTTTGCTTCCAAGATCACGACTGACTAATGATTCCGCAAAGTTTGTAAATTTCTCATCTTTTAATTCCATCTTTGAATTCCCTGAGATTACCATCGTTTTACGGAATACAAAATAAAAATCGATACTTTAGGTCCTCAGCTTTAGGGTTTAGTACTGTACACGATGTTTAGGTCTCTGATTCGGACACGATCATCACAGGCATCGTCATCTTCAGTCGTCACTATGTCGTGAGTTCTTCTAGAGTTTTCTGACTCAATCAAATGTTGTTCCATTAAAGCATTCATCTTAAATCTGTCGAAAAAGGAAAAGACTTTACCAAGAGACGAATCACTTCTAGGGATTCTGTTTGTTTCAGTGCATTGGCTTTGTCCCAGTTGTTGATCTTACTGCTATATTGTAGGATCTCTTCATATAATCTTATCGATACTGATTGACTTATGATTGATTGTTTCTGTCTTTCTCTGGCAGCTCAATCGCTCAGAGAGGAAATGAAAGGCTTTTGTCTGAAGCTGCTGGTTCACATTCCACTGATAAGGTAAATAGACCATACTGTTTCATCACTCATGAGTTTGATAGAGACATTGTGATAAGAGTTTGATCAAATCCGATTCCCAAATGCAGCAATTTAGTTAAAGAGTAGAATCAGTTGAAACAAGAGTTAGACACTTGTGTGTAGTTGTTGACAAGCTTCTGGACTTATGGAGAGCTAACAGTGCTCTTTGATTCACTCTCTGTTTTGTGTTGAATGCAGATATTGGTTTTGGGAGGAAATGGTTATGTAGGTTCACACATATGCAAGGAAGCACTGAGACAAGGTTTCTCTGTATCTAGTCTTAGCAGGTATTTGTATCATTAACGGCTGCTCGGGTTTCAAATCCTTTTGTTTTTTTAAAGCTGATGATTGTTGCTCATAGACCGTCTTTGCCTAGCTTAAATTTAGTTTTTTGCGCTGTTATTAGGTCTGGAAGATCTTCTCTGCATGATACATGGGTCGACGATGTAACCTGGCATCAAGGTTAGCTCAAGATCCGAAAACACATTTCACCTTGTTCATCATTTAAGAAACAAAAGACTTCGATGAATTACATTATTCGATTTCCAAAACAATAGGTGATTTGCTTTCGCCCGATTCTCTCAAGCCTGCACTAGAAGGAATAACATCTGTGGTAATTAAGAAAGTTCTAAACATTGACTTCACTGTATATCATCCTTTCAGCCGCATCTCATATGTAAACTTCTGCAGATCTCATGCGTTGGTGGTTTCGGTTCTAATTCTCATATGGTCAAAATCAATGGAACTGCAAACATTAATGCTGTTAAAGCTGCAGCAGAACAAGGTAAACAGTGCCTTGTATGTTTGTATGGGAACGAGGAAAAAACTCAAATTGCTAAGTTATCTGCAAAAGTGTATAGATATGTTTTTCGGTTTGTTCTGTTGCAAACTGATAGTAATGAAGCTTGTTATGGTCAGGTGTGAAAAGATTTGTGTACATATCAGCTGCTGATTTTGGAGTCATAAATTACTTAATTCGAGGATATTTTGAAGGAAAGGTACTTCTTCTTCTTCTCTGCCTTCTTGGCTTAGTTCTTAGTCATTACAGCTCTCTTTGATTCATTTGTCTATCTATTTGCAGAGAGCAACTGAAGCTGAGATTTTGGATAAATTCGGAAACAGAGGTGTGTAAATTCTCTCACTATATAAGCACGGTTTTATTCTTCATAGATTTAAGTTTTTTAAAATTTCCTCTGCTTTATTAGGAACGGTTCTAAGGCCAGGATTCATACACGGGACTCGTCAGGTCGGCAGCATAAAGCTGCCACTTAGTCTCATCGGAGCTCCTCTCGAAATGGTATGAAGAATTTGCAACATCAATCCTCGATTGTTCTGACTCTTAAACAATCTCAGATAAAAAGTCTGAATCTTTTTCTTTTTCTCCAAACATTTTTCACTACAGGTTTTGAAGCTGTTCCCAAAACAAGTGACAAAAATTCCCGTTATCGGACCGCTTTTAATACCTCCGGTTAATGTCAAATCCGTCGCAGGAACCGCAGTAAAAGCTGCAGTTGATCCCGATTTCGCTTCTGGAGTCGTCGATGTGTACCAGATTCTTCAACACGGTCATTGAAAATGACACAGTTACTCGTTTTGTTATTTCTTAAGGATTGGTTTAACTTATCTGAAAATGTAACCTTCGTCTCTGGTTTTGCCACAATAAACTCTCTGACATATTACAAAATGTCAAGAAGATGAAATCTTGAAGATAAATCTTCCAATTGTTAAAGTTGTATAGCCTTTTGAGGCTAATTAACCGGGGGATGAACCATAACCGTGTATAATCAATCATTGGTTCGATTTCAATTCAAAAACCGGACTATAAGGTTTTTAAAGCGAAAACCTAGAAATTCGTTTTACGCGTATCGTGCTTTTCGTTTCCCGGGTTTTCGCTTCTCGTCGTTTCACTTTCAGGTCTCTCAAGTACTGTAACGTGGGAAATCGCGTTTTGAAGGGAGAGAGCGTCTAGGGTTTTTTCGTATGGTACAGTTTCGGATTCGAGAATCTTCGATTTCGGCTAGGTTTCACTTGTTCAGGTCAGTTTTTCCTCTCTATTGGAATGTGGAAATTTGAGTTTGTTTCGTGCTTTTTCTTTTTTCTGTGTGTTCGCGAATCGAATTTTGTCTTCTTCGCTTGGGTTATTTTTTCATCGCTACCTTTGATTTTTCGTCTTCTTCGTCTTTGTCACTTGATTTTGCTTGCCTTTTCTGGGGTTTACTGTTCATTTTTCAGTCACAGGGCTGTGTTGAAGAGAAGAGATTGTGTGAGACTGTTGATTGCTTTTTCTTGATTTGAGATTGGAACTAGAAAACTTTGTATTTGATCAGATCCTAATTTTTTAATCCCTCAATTTGGGGTTTAGGGTTAGCTTTTTCTGCATTGGTCCAGATTTCAAGTTTTAAGCTTCCTGCTAAGTTTCTAATTTTCGATTCTGCACTTTTCTCCCCAATCTGCACTTAACTACTTCTTGTATCTGTGGATTTGATACAACGATTCCCGAAAATTTCAGGTTAACTCAGCAAAATCTCTTTAAGGACGATGTCTGAACGTCGTGCTAAGCGCCCTAAAATCTCCAGAGGAGAAGATGACTTTTTGCCCGGGAATATTACCGAAATCGAGCTTCACAACTTCATGACATTCAATCACTTGGTATGCAAGCCTGGATCTCGCTTGAACCTTGTAATTGGACCAAACGGATCAGGTAAGAGCTCTCTTGTGTGTGCCATTGCACTTTGTCTTGGTGGTGAGCCTCAGCTTCTTGGGAGGGCAACTAGTGTCGGTGCATATGTTAAGCGTGGGGAAGATTCTGGCTACGTCAAGATCTCTCTGCGAGGGAATACGAAGGAAGAGAAGTTTACTATTTTCCGTAAGATCGATACACGTAACAAGTCAGAGTGGATGTTTAATGGGAATGCGATTAGCAAGAGAGATATAGTTGAGATAATCCAGAAATTCAACATCCAAGTTAACAATCTCACACAGTTCCTGCCTCAGGACAGGGTTTGCGAGTTTGCCAAGTTAACGCCTGTGCAGCTCTTGGAAGAGACGGAAAAAGCTGTTGGTGATCCTCAACTCCCAGTGCATCATCGTTCGCTTGTTGAGAAAAGCCATGAACTGAAGCAGCTTGAGAGAGCTGTGGCGAAAAACGGAGAGACGCTGAATCAGCTTAAAGCTCTTGTTGATGAGCAGGAGAAGGATGTGGAGCGTGTTAGGCAGAGAGACTTATATTTGACAAAGGTTGATTCCATGAAGAAGAAATTACCATGGCTAAAGTATGATATGAAAAAGGCTGAGTACGTTGATGCTAAGAAGAAGGTGACGGAAGCCATGAAAAAATTGGATGAAGCTGCAAGAAATTTGAACAGCGTGAAGGAACCTATTGAAAAGCAAAGGAAGGAGAAAGCAGAGATAGATTCGAAATGCAAAAAGGTTAAGAATCAATTGGATGCAAATGGGAAAAAGCGTGGTGACTTGCTCGAGAAAGAAGATGAGGCAGAAGCACGTGTAGTGGCAACATACAAAGAACTTGAGGAACTGAAGAAACACGAAAAACATCGCCAAGAAAGGATTCGGAAAGCTAGCGAGGATCTGGTTGCTGCAGAGCAAGAACTCCAAAACCTGCCCGTATATAAACCTCCCGTAGCCAAACTTGAAGAATTGAGCACCCAGGTTGCGGAGCTGCGTGACAACATAAACCGGAAGAAGTATCAGGTGGTGGACAACGAGAAGCTGTTGTCACAGAAGAGATACACATTGATGCAATGCGTAGACAAGTTGAAGGACATGGAGAATGCAAATAGCAAACTCTTGAATGCACTATGTAAATCTGGAGCTGACCGGATATTTGAAGCATATCAATGGGTGCAACAGAATCGTCATGAGTTCAAAAAGGAAGTATATGGTCCCGTTTTGGTAGAGGTTAACGTTCCAAGTCGAGAGGATGCTTGCTATTTGGAGGGTCATATTCCTTATTATGTTTGGAAGTCTTTTGTGACACAGGATTCTGAGGACCGTGATTTGTTGGTTAGAGGTCTGAAACGATTTGATGTTCCTGTTCTAAACTATGTGGGTGATGGCAACAATGAAAAGGCTCCCTTTCATATTTCTGATCAGATGCGTTCTCTTGGGATTCGTGCTCGGCTTGATCAAATATTTGATGCTCCTGATGCCATCAAGGAGGTTTTAACATCCCAGTTTGGTCTGGATAACTCATACATTGGATCAAAGATTACTGATCAGAGGGCTGAAGAAGTTTCCAGGTTGGGTGTAACTGATTTTTGGACACCGGACAATCACTACCGGTGGTCTTCCTCAAGGTATGGTGGTCATTCCTCTGCAAGTGTAGATTCTGTATATCCATCACGTCTTCTATTATGTGGTGTGGACGTTGGAGAGCTAGAGAAACTTAGGTCAAGAAAGGAAGAATTAGAGGACTCTGTTTTATCCATGGAGGAAATTCACAAGAATCTTCAAATAGAGCAGAGACTTTTGGAAGAAGCAGCAGCTAAACTTCATAAAGAGAGGGAGGAGATTATTAATGTTTCGAATCTGGAGAGGAAAAAACGCCGTGAGCTGGAATCCCGTTACCAACAAAGGAAGACAAAGTTAGAATCCTTGGAGCAAGAGGAGGACATGGATGCTTCAGTTGCTAAACTGATTGAGCAGACTTCGAGAGCCAACTCTGACCGCTATACATATGCGATCAATCTCAAGAAATTACTCGTGGAGGCTGCTGGTTATAAGTGGAGTTATGCCGAGAAGCATATGGCTTCTATCGAACTGGAAAGGAAGATCAGAGAGTCTGAAATCAATATCAAACAATATGAGAAAATTGCGCAGCAGACAGCCCTCAGTGCTGAGTATTGTAAGAAAGAGGTAGAAGGAAAGCAACGGCAGCTAGCAGCTGCCAAGAGGGATGCAGAATCTATTGCAATCATTACGCCTGAACTTAAAAAGGAGTTTATGGAGATGCCTACCACGATCGAAGAATTGGAAGCGGCTATACAAGACAACATCTCTCAAGCCAATTCGATCCTTTTCGTTAATCAGAACATACTTCAAGAGTATGAACATCGCCGGAGTCAGATAGAAACTATTTCTAAAAAGCACGAAGCTGATAAAATGGATCTGACCAGATGCTTGCAAGAAATCGACTCGCTAAAGGAGAAATGGCTTCCAACATTGAGACAGCTTGTTGCTCAGATACATGAAACTTTCAGCCACAACTTCCAAGAAATGGCTGTTGCAGGAGAAGTTTTATTGGATGAGCGCGGCACTGACTTTGATCAATACGGAATACATATCAAAGTGAAATTCAGGGAATCAGCGCAACTTCAGGTTCTAAGTTCTCACCACCAGTCCGGAGGAGAGCGGTCCGTATCAACTATCCTTTACCTCGTTTCTCTTCAAGATCTCACAAACTGTCCTTTCAGGGTTGTTGATGAGATCAATCAAGGTAAAACTGATAATAATGCTTATCAAAACTGCCCTGAAACATCATCAGAAGTTTCTAAAATCTGCAATTGCGTATGCAGGTATGGATCCTATAAACGAAAGGAAGATGTTTCAACAATTGGTTAGAGCTGCTAGCCAACCAAACACACCACAGTAAGTTCTTCTCATACCGGAAATCCTGGAAACTACTCTCGGGAATCTGTTTTCGTTTGCGTCACTGTCTCTCTTCTCGGGATTTCTGTCTGACAAAAGTAAGAAACAATGCTTGTAGGTGCTTCTTACTGACCCCAAAGCTCTTGCCGGAGCTTGAATACAGTGAAGCCTGTAGCATTCTGAACATCATGAACGGTCCATGGATCGAGCAGCCTTCACAAGTTTGGAGCTTTGGTGATAGTTGGGGAAATCTCATGAGACGAACCGAAGCAAGTCAATGTTCTTGATTGACTTCATCATTCATCAGTCAGATTTTCTTATTTCCGGTTTTTTGGAAGAATCATGTATTTATGCTATTAAACCAACTGATCAGACCAGATTGAACCATAACCGGTTTAAACATGTTAGTCGTTTTCTGG